GCATCCCTTGTCCTCGGAACACCAAGGCGCAAAACCGGATTAAGTGGTCGATACGGGCTCCAGGGGGAGACATGAGCTTATAAGCTTGCAAGTGTTCTGCCAAATTCAAACAAGCTTGTAAGAGTTCTACCAGGTTCGAAAGGGAGTCTGTAGAGAAGTCTTCAAAAGCTTTCGGGTGTAGGGCATACTTGGGCGCTCTATTGCTTTGGTACATGAGCTCCGTGGGATGATAGGGATTAGTATAGTGGGTTGGAGGGGTGCTAAGTAGACTTACTCAGTCAAAAAGCCTGAGAGTGAGTTTCATAGGCTGCCGACTAGGGTTAAAGGAACACTTCCTGAAATGAGGGCAGATGCAGACACCTATTCCAGATACTACACGGACACCCCAAGGACATGGTTCCTCAGTAAATGGGAGGGAGTTGATGTGATCCATACATAGGACGTAAAATTCTACGACCCTTACGAGGAGGACATATTCTCCCCAATGCTGGCCGTCGCTTTTGTAGCCTTCCCTAGAATTCAGGGGTCCTTCCCTTCGAGGTTTTTTGCTTGGTAAACGAAGATGTCAGGTCACTATCAGGTCAACCCCATTCTTGGGAATTCCGGTCTGGAAAAATGAGATGCTCGTGCATCAACTCTGTCTCTCTCACCTAGCTCGCCCTCGCTCTCTCACTCTCTCCCCCGCTGTTTTCTCGCTTTGCGCTTCTTGTCTTGAAGCACCGCCGGAAAGGATGACAAGGCACGAATGCCAGGTCGCAGCTCCCATGTTTCAACATGACCCCTAAACAACGCGCCGCAGCAAGCCCAAAAACCCTGCATCCAGAATTGCACATGCGACAGCCTGAACCCTACCACAGGCCCTTAAGGTTGACTCGTCTATCTTCCGAGGTTTGGGGACTATGGGCTGAACTTTGGGTGTTGTAGATATCGAAACTTCCCTCTGTTGGAGTTATTAGGGCATTGATTTCCCAGCTCTTCCTTCAGTTGAGGTCTCGGGTGCAGCTGGGTTGAATGTAACACCTGGAGCCTCCACCCTAAGCCTACGAATAGCACCAGACCAAGCGTCTCATTGTGCAGGGACAAAGGGCCAACAAGGTAGCGACGTCCTCGGTGGTTCAGAAAGCCACAGAGAAGTGTAAGGCGTGATTGCTTGAATTCTATGGCTTAGAGTCTTAGAGCCTGGGGCAGCAGGAGACTCCTCCACACACCCCGCAGCATCGCGTGTAACAAGTCTGCAAAGATAATTTGCACGTAAGTACCAGGCTTGCAGACCGCATGGACCGATGGCTTCCGTATGGGCATGTGGGGTAGTTGAGGGGTACTGAGTGCCAAAAGCATCTTTAACGACTGTTACTGTTGTCGTCATTCCGAAACCCTTCAACGTCTCCATGAGAGAGCTCACAGGCTGAATTACCGCACCCGGCCAGAACCCCACGTTGGAACAGTTGAGCTCTTGCGGGGAAATAGAGCACAGCAGCTACCTCTCTCTGCGGCTCCCGACAATAAACCCCACAACATACAGTCGCCGTGAAGGTGATCTCGCAGCGAACCAGCAAAGCGGTGTCTGCAGTCCGAGAAACTTTTCGGCCTGCACAGCTTGCACGCCACCTATGCAAGCGACTCTGTGCACTTCGGCTCAGGGTTTGTCTCAGCTTTGAAGCGGGTCTTTGCTTGAGAACGAGGATGCAAGGCAACGCTACGTGAGCCCCAAACCCCGTGCCGTACCTCCGTGTCACCTCTGACTTCCGAAGAAATGTGCGAGTTGACAGCTCTATGGTTTTCTTACAAAGACCTAGCAGAGCTGCAGTGAAGTGTGCAACAAGCAGTCTGGGCTGCCTTTATTTGCGGAAGGACCTCTGCACATAAGTAGCCAGGGAACTCAATTGAAGCGGAAACTTGGGATCTGGGGATGCGGGGGCTTGCAGATCGGGATCATAGTTTCAGGGGAGGCTATTGGTGCTTGAGGCGGAAGGTTTGTTTTGGCTGCTGCTTTGGCATTCTGCCGGCTGGGCCAAGGATTCTAGAAGGAGCCCTGAAGAGTCCTGACCATTCAAGCCCAGTGCAAGATCGGAAGGAAGGGCGGCAACCCGACCAAGTAGACCCTTTGTTCCTGGAGCCATCTTCACTAAGTCACTTGTAAGCCCACCTCACCGAGCAAAACACAAAGCGAAGCCAGTACTTCTGCACGGCGACTGGAACAAGGGAGGGGGTAAGCTGCTGCGATGCTGTAGTAATTTAAGCACCCTGATTCATAAGCGAGAAGAGGTCCGAAAGCCAGCTCCATCACCCGCAAGTCCTCCATCAAAGGCCTGCTCAGCTCGCAAAGCTTCACCTACCTAGCCCATGAAGCCTCAAGCAACCGGCGATTAGCAGAATCTTGCCAAGTTGCTTGGCAGTCGTTCTTTCGCTTTTCAGCGCGAGACCTTAGTTGGGATTCATGGCTAGCCCCCTCCAGTCCCATTCCCTGCATGATGCATGGTCTAGACTTTTTGACTTTACACGCTCTTGCCTGAGGGTGCGCTGCTAGACATGCACAGTTAAGACCTCTGAGTGAAGATCCTCAGGCGGATATGGATTCAGACCTTGGCACAGCTTTGCCAACCGAAGTAAATACTGAAGAAGTCGTTCTCTGTTTCTCTACCCCTGTCGCTCATCAAAATCAAGGAAACTGAAGCACCCTCTAGAATGACCCGAAGCCTTACTTAGCGCCCCAACCTCCCATCAAGCTCCCAGTATAAAAGCGCTGCAGCGCAATTTCAACATCTAAACGGCCCTAGAATACCACCAACTCCCGAACAGCTAAGCCCCCTTCTCTACGGTGTTAGCCAGAAGAACATCCAAAAACATGACATAACCTTCCAAAGAAGCCCACGATGCACAAACCCATAAGAACTCTCCCCCGCTTAGTCTACACCCTACACCGCATCATAAGCCCCGCATCCCTAAACCCTAAACTCTACAGCATCATAAGCCCCGCAAAATTCGAACGAGAAGGCTTCTCCTCGTCGGAAAGGATGTTCTCGCTAGGATCCGTCGGCTGCCACCCTGCGCACCAGGGCCGGTGTTCGGGGTATTTTTGCCTCCCACCTAGCTAGGTCGAAAGGACGAAGTCCGCATTGCAGGGTTTCCGGTCTCGGGCGTAGGGTTTTCCCAACGCCCCGATATATTATATTCTGCCCTTTCAAGGGCCATCCGCTCTTTTCAGCACACAACGACAGCTCGAGGAAGGACACTCTTGGATCTTACAGCCTTTTTGCAATGAGATCTCTTGCAAAACCTAACTCAAACCAAGCGACAGCAGGTCCTAGAAAACACTTCTTGCTGCGGAGGCTTAGGTCCTTCGGGACAATCCCCAGAGCAACGAATCTGTAGCGGGACAAGCCTTCCTTGCACTCACCGTCTGCAGCGACGACGCGCAGCTCCTGCTCAGGCTCGAGGCTTACGGCTTGGCTTTAGTCTTGGCTTTGGAGCTGGTTCTAAGGAATACGGAATAATATAGGGTTTGTTACAGAGTTTATGTTGCCTCGCCAGCTCTGGGTGCTTGAGGGGTAATTGACGACAGGTCCTGAACCCCGATAGCCCAATCCCTCACGCCGGCCTTCCCTGATATAGCCCCTACATGAGTCTGGTAGAGAGACCCCACAACCCTACTTCTACTTGTTAAGTGTCAAGGCGCCTCTACCCATAGGCCCCTAAGCAGTTCCGTTTTGTGGTTCATATGTAGAATCCGATAAGGTAGTCCCAAAAAGGAACTACCTAGAGACTTAAGGGCCTATGGGTAGTGCGGCTCAGATTGTTGCAGAAGTATGGGGCAGGACGCTGTGGGCCGCTGCTGAGGGCTCGGCAGGAAGGTACGGAAGTACAACGCACATCGCTTCAAAGCTTAAGAGTCTAAGTCCAGGCTCATGATCAGGGTGTAGGGGTTTCGGGTTTTTGTGGCATTCGAACCTTCAACAACTTTGATTGTGAACGCAGTCTCCGCACCCGGAGGCCCAAATCAACTGACAGTCTCCTCAGCCCGCTGAAACCCGGACCTCTGACTATCCAAAGGGTTCAGTGCACGGTTTGGGGCTGGCGGGATTGGGGTTTGCGCGGCTTGCCTACTTGGGCAAATGCCCGGCGACAAGCCCATCTAGACCTCAACCTAGCCTTCATGCTCTTACCCTCCATTAACCAAAACCGTATGCCCGAAAGCCCTAAACCACAAGCCCGACATCCTCAAACCCAATGAAACCCCAACACCCCTGACCATATAACCCTTCGAAGCTACCCCTCCGCCACTGAAGCCCCCAAACCTGACAACTTCCGATTCCCGAGTGCCTTTTTGTGCTTGAGGGCGGACTCCATTTCACTCTCTTCCTCGTGCAAGGGATGGTAGGCTGTGATTTAAGGTTGCTAAAGCACTTCGGTAACATGTCGTTGCACGAGCGAAGATTATGCACAGTGCATGACGAATAATTGGGTTCGAGTAGAGTAGATGGGAGTGCTGTACTGCGGAGGTTGCAATAAAGCTGGTGTCTGGGACAAACGTTCACACGAGCCGAGTTCAAACAGCTCCGTGTTGTCGTCACTTTTGAGCTTTTGAGAAGGAGACCACAGGGTGCCAAAGCCCTAGAGGTCACACACACCCGTCGACGACTAGCGAGAGTCGTAGAACTCGGCGATCCGAGCCAAACCCAGAATCGCCTCCTCCTCCCAAGCAGCTGCCGCCACACGATCAGCATAACACGCCTCCCTGGCACTACCGGTGACCCGCCTCACAGCAAGGTCACGAGCAGCAACATCCGCACGACCATTGATCACCCTGGCCGGCACCTCACCAC